ATATATATATTATTTAGTGTTATATATATATTATTTAGTACTAAATAATATATATATATATAAATATATATATATATTATTTAGTGTAACAGCGGCGGAAATAGCGGAAGACTCGAGTTTGTTGGCTATCGGATTCAGCGATTCTGGTATAAAAGTATGGAGTTTGATTCCACAAAAGTTGAGATTGATGAAAACGGGTGAACAATTACAGGATATTGATAGAGAAGCAGGTAAAATGAAACTAAGAAGAAACGAAAACAGTTCTAGCACGTTTGTAGATTTATAGTACATTTGTACGTAAAAAAACGTTGTAGACGACGTGTTGGTCAGAATGATGGATGATCGAACGGCGGAAACTGCAAGAAATCTATTCGGTCATAGTGGACCTATTTATAGTCTTTCGTTCAGTCCAGATAGAAATCTCTTACTTTCGTCATCGGAAGATGCTACAAGTAAGATGTCAAAAAAGCATAGAAAGGTTTTGCAATTTTAATATATTTTTAACATTATATGTATTGTATATATGTAAAAGAAAATAATCGCGGTGAAAATTAATATTGAGGTAATATTTTGATATTTCCTCACTCCCTACGTATAATTACATAAGTGTCACGTATGGGATTTTCAGTTTATTGCATAATGACACTTAGAAAGTCATGTTCTTTATGGTCACCAAATATTAAAAAAAAATATTCATAAATAAAGTACAAATTTGAAACCGAAAGATCCCTAACTATAGGGAAACATATGAAGCTTTATACTTTTAAACTGCTCTCCTCTAAAATTTGCGTTTTGGAGTTACGGGATTATACGTAGGGAGTGACGATTTTGTGACTTTAGTTAGGTTGTGGTCTCTGCATACATGGACATGCGTCGTCTGCTACAAGGGTCACTTGTTTCCCGTGTGGTGCGTAAGATTCTCGCCGCATGGTTATTACTTCGCAACTGCCTCGAACGACAAGACAGCCAGATTATGGGCAACTGATTCTCATCAGCCATTGCGAATATTTGCTGGCCATTATTCAGATGTTGATGTAAGTCGTTGTTTGTCAAGAGTTACATTACTTTATAAATAATCAATTGTTACTTTGCAGGTGGTACAATTTCATCCAAATTCAAATTACGTCGCGACCGGCTCGAGTGATCAGACTGTTAGACTGTGGGACTGCGTGTCCGGCAGTCAGGTCCGTTTAATGACCGGACATAAGGGATCAATTTATTCTCTAGCCTTCTCGACGGAAGGACGATTTTTAGCTTCCGCCGGTGCCGATCATCGTGTCCTCGTATGGGATCTGGCGCACGGTCATCTTGTCGCGGCTTTGTCGGACCACACCGGTAATATTCATTGTCTGTCGTTCAGTCGAGATGGCAATATTCTAGTTTCAGGTACTTTCGCTTCTATTCCATTAACATAAAAAAAAATAAAAAAAATAGAAATATAAAAAACCGGAACGAATGTTACTAACAAATTTTTATTTTGTCAGGATCTTTAGATTGCACATTAAAATTGTGGGATTTTACAAAACTAGCGGAAGAGATGAGTTTGGAGGACGTTAACGTCTCGCATAATCCCGATGTGAAAACTAATGCGGAATCTTATTTACTGCGTACCTTTGCCACAAAAAATTCACCTGTAATAGCGTTACATTTTTCGCGTAGAAATTTACTGTTAGGTATCGGTATGTTCGATTCGACATGATTCACGGCATTTATTAGGTTTTTCATATACTTCTTGTACATATATATGAGAATTTTTTATGAGATAAATTTTTTATACTTCTTAGCTTTATGATATTGTGTAATACTAGATATGACAAAAATAATATTATATGTACATATATGTGTATAAAATTTAATAAAAGCTATATTATATTACAAATTATATATGACCGGCGGTGTCTCTGGAATTCATCATCTGTTTTTATTCTTTCTCTGTTTGCGATTATTTCGGATCGTTGTTGCGATGAATAATATACAAAATAAGAGACCGCTCTGTGCAAATATAACTTGAAATACGAGGCAATAATAAGGCCGAGCGAGATGATGCATTGCGATCGATAATTCGCACGAGTTTTGCAACTCGAATACGACAGGCGAGTGAATGGGGTGAATGGCGGTAGTTTCGTGGTAAACTAACAGTGGTATGTAAGTAAGTGCGACAGAGCAATACACGCACACACACACAGAGAATTTGATCCGGAGCAAAAAGTTGTTGACGGAAAAAAAGGCAAGTTACATTGGAGGAAAATAAAAATGTCTGAACACAAATGAAAGTAAGTAAGCGGTTCTCTCTGACGTTCACTCGGGTTTTCACCTGGGCGTTGTCCTCGTAAATTTATCGCGTTTCACTTTCGCTTTTAACGACGATGGACGATGACAGTGCAAGGTTAGGTGAGTATAATATTTACATTGCAAAAGCTCGCGATGTTTTCGCGATTTTGACATAATTTTTTTTTCGAACAAATTTCTTTGTACTTTTCATTCGTACAGCTACGGAGAGTTATGAGGTGGTTAAAGCCTTGTACGACTTCAAGGCCACATTCGCGAAGACTCTCAGCTTCCGGGAAGGTGAACACTTTCTTCTGCTGCAGCGCAACATCAAACAAAAAAATTGGTGGCAAGTTGTAAATAGAGGAGGACGTCTGGGCTATATACCATCCAATTATGTTACTCCTGTAAAGGTATGTATATATTTGTATATATCTATTTTTAAGACTAAGTAGACAAATATAAAAAAAAAGTATTGTCCATATTGTCCAATTGGTCATCAGGTGCAGCCACAATTCTTGATTGGATTTTTAGAAGACTGTATAATAACTTTGGAAACTGAAGATAATAGACAAGGTGACTCCTTGCATTCTGACAAGCAAGATCTTCTAGCAAAATTAATAGAAAAGAAGAAACTAATCGAACTAGGTATAAAGACTAAAAGACCAGCGCCTAAACCGCCAGATTTTAAATCTAATGTTCAATCGAAAGAAACGTATTTGACAACTGTCAACGATAATGTAGATGTTAGATCGGCGCCGAGCAATACTTCCTACGCAACAGCACAAACTACTCTTCATGGCAATACAAATGCAGATATAAGCAATCATGCGATTACACAGTGCCAAAGGTCGGGAGGAAATGAGCAGCGCGTGCAATCGCTTCCTCGCCAATCGTCGTCGGATATTGTGCAGAAAGTTCCGACGCAGATAATCGAAGTGCGTAAAAGCGCTTCACAAGGTAGTATACAAACAATACATAGTAACTCTCCGGTTAAGACCAACTCACCAGTCAAGAGCAACTCCTCGCCAACCAAGAGCTCGCCAGCTAAGAGCAATTCCTCGTTATTACAAGCCATTAACCCGCGAAGTGCTTATCAATTGCTTGACCAAGTGCGTAAAAATACTCAGCTTAGTCACGAAATGTCGAAGGTAGCGGTTACAGTTGTAGTAGCTAGTCTGCAGCAACTGCTGCCGGAAAGTGTAAGTCACTATTTTGATGCTTTGCTGCATCAGCTACAAACACCGCTGACCGTGTCAAAAATTAGTATAGAGGAAACTTACGATGCTAATAGGTTGAAAATTATTTTCAACGAATTGACTTCGTGCAAGGAAGATTCACAGCAGAGGAGTTGGATGCTCTACGAGGATGAGGCTGTCATTGTAGATTATATCAAAGAATTGACCGAAATACTGGTACTTATCTTTTTATTTTCTATAAAACGATATAAAAATTTGAATTTTTTAATTTATTAGATTAATTTATTTATAATACACAATATTATATGCGAGTTTGTGAGATAACATATATTTTTGTTTTCCTTTAATTAAATAGACCAATGCTGACGCAAATGTGTCAAAATATGTTTTGAGACAAGATCGATATAACGGGGTAACAATATTAATACAGTATTATCAAATGGAGACAAGATGGACCATTAGACAACTATTGTTACAATCGTTCGGTGTTATGTGCAGTTTGGATCCTATGGTTCTAACTATAATGTTAAATAGTATTTTACCAATGGAATTAGCAAGGTATTGCGAATTAAATAATCTAATAGTGCATATAACAATTTCAAATAATAACTTAATAATTTTTTTATAGAGACATGAAGAGCAATCCTAGAAATGTGCAGAGATTGAAATATTCTTCTGTGCTGCTTACAATGATATTTTCAATGGGTGAACCTATGCCAGTTACGCATTTGGGTGAGCTAAATACAAACCAACGTAATATTATAAATTTTTGGAAAAAACTGTAGAAAAATTCAAGTATTAGTTTTTTTTTTTTGTATATTAATTTTTGAATTTCTTGCAGAGCAACTTGGTACAGACTTTATATCGTTTCTTCTGGACTTGATAGAAACACCACCCGATACAGATTTAGAAGATCAAATCCCAGACTTGTTCGTAAATTTAATATTATCCTACAATCTGCAATTTGCGTCTTCTGAAAATATAGTTCTTAATGCCTTACGTGAGCGGACTGTGGCCAAGACTTTCACTGAAAAAATTTTATTCCTTTTTAACAGAGAAGGTAAATTTTATGCACGTAATGTCAGGGCTGACTGTCCGAGCTGACAAAATTTTAACTTGCCATAGAGGATCCGGTGCGCATATTTGATCACAAACCACAACCGCCGCACTCTGTGTTGAAACTTTTTATCGATTTGTTCAGTAACGATGCCATAGCAAGTTTGTTTTACACCAACGATGTAAAAGTTCTTATTGATATTATACTGAGGCAGCTTTTTGACATGTTTCCCGGTGATAAGGTATTACATAAACATAATATTATATAACGTAATAAGACTAATGTTAAATTTACAGAAAAAAAAAAAGAAAAATGTAAATCTCTCACTTGTTATTCTCTTTAATGCAATGACAGCGTAGACAATATTTAGAACTCTGTCGTCGAGTTCTACGCACAACGAGTTACAACGAGCATCGTCATCGATCTGAGGATTTGCTAAAATGTTTCACAAGGTAAGATTCATTGCATATGTGTGTGCAATGTAACTACGTTACAATAATTTATCATATTTTTACAATGTATTTTCTGTATTTATTTATTATGCTAGGATATTTTGCGAAGAAACGACAGAGAGCCAAGAAGATCAGCAGGTAGTACGCGAAATTAGCAATGAGTTTCCACGCTTCTTCCAAATGTGACATTTAATTTCATCCTCTAACCCGGATTTAGAGGAAGATGATTTGCAAACTCTCGTCTAAACAATTCTATTTTGAAGTAAAAGAGCAGAATCACACAAAATTTTCTTAATCCTCTTTCGGCTTGTTTATATATATATTTTTTTTTTTTTTTTTTTTTTAGCGAAGAAGATAGTAAGACGCACACAATTTATGAAAGATTAATGATATATATATATATATATTTTATGACTGCCATAAAAATGTCTTCATTTGGTTGGTGCTATAAAACACATCATTCGTATAGGTAAAATCATAAATCACAATTTAGTGTAAAGGACGTCTAAAGTTATTCATTATTATATACTATGATAGTATAAAAAACGATAAGTCCTATCCATTTTATCATATGAGGACCATTAATATAGAAAAAAACATTCCATTGGCGTAAGTTGTATAATCAGTAGGCAAAGGTCGACAGAGAGGCGACAAAGATAGGAAAAAGAAAGCGGGATAGGAAGAAAGAAGGAGAAATTTCCATTAGAAGAGAGAAACACTGCACACACATTGTATTGTTTTTGTTTTTGATCAAACTACGCAGGATATTTGTTAACACAACAATGAGCAATTATTTAAAAAAAAAAAAAGATCTAAAAGAAGACTTTTTAAGAATCAAATTTATAAATTTTTTAATCAGTTGTAGAAATTAATTTATATGACGAAGTTAAGACAATGCTTATATATCGTATGATTATGTGTGTGTAGTGACAAACATGACATGAGATCTTCAGTATCAATTCGAAGTTTGTCCGTGTTATTTTTGTCGACCCGTAAGTTTATTGTTATAATAGAGTAATTGAAAAAAAAAAAAAAAAAAACTGAAGTAACTTATTACATACACAGATAAAATTTATAATATAAATATAGATATTCGTCTGTGTGTCTCTCTCTATATTGTTAAAAATGGAGAAGTTAATTGAAATTACAAGTAAAATTTCTCCGTGAAAAAATATAGTCTAGTCCACACATCTCTATGTATGTTAGAACAAGATATTCTCTCTCTAAGTCATAGAAATTAAATTCTAACTTAATATATATATATATAGTTTACTTTTTGAAGAGAGATATAAAATATACTTTGTCTAAAACACAGTGCCGTTTTTATTTAGCGTATTTTCTGATTATAATAAATAAAATCTTGAATATATAAATTCCTTGAGAAGAGAATTACTCATAAGACTTTATACTAGGTGCCACTGCGATCAGTGAACTTGCTAGTCTATAATTAGTGACTATATATTTTTTTAAGCATGTTACATTCTACGTTATGTTTGCAACTATCGACATGTCAATTATATAGAAATCTCGAATTTATTGTGATTATAATGTTAAATAAATTAAAAGTTTAGCTTACGTGGGGTCTTTATCGTGGACGTTTGATTTCTCCTTTCTTCCACTATTTCGAGAAGTTTGGACAAATCAAGATCATAAGCAAATTTCTTAGACTTACATCACTAAGAAGAATAGTATTCGTATTATTAAACAACAAAGTATAAGATTTTTATTTTGTTTCTTTTATTAACAACAATAAATATATATTGATTTCTTTATTGAAAATATTTCAAGGAGTTAAAAGTGTATGAAATAAAATAAAACTTGTATTACAACAATAATATGACGTATGTATAAAAGCGGGAGAGATAATTCATTCGATGCGATGTTCGTGGCAGAGGTTTGCCTCCGTGACTATAATTGTAAAAACGAAAGATAATTTCTGTGCAATATTTTGTTCGCGCATTGTTGCGATTTCTCGTACAAACACGCAAATGATTAGTTTCATGTGATGTGTGTAAAATGTAAGTGTCTTTGGATTCACAAGAGCGGTTGTTTCCTCAAAACGATTATTCACCAGTCATCATTTCCATGAATTCTGTAAAGAGAAAAAATACAAAAATGCAAGGAAGCAAGTGTTTGTTCGCGTAGAACTTGTTTCAAATTAATTTGAAAATATGCGAAAATGTTGAATTAAAGATTTCATTATTACACTCCCAACTCTAATAGTTTACTTGCTCTTGTGAAGAACGAATTTTCTTACATAAAAAAAAATTAGAATAAAAATAAAAAATAGAGAAAAAAACATTTAAAACTTTAGAGACTAAATTCTAAAATATATATATTCTAGATCTTTTTTTCTCATTCAAATATAGTTTTCTAGAGATATATCTTATGTACACAGTTCAATAGAGAGAAAGAGTTTTTATAAATATCACACTTTGTGTGAGCTTCATCGGAAATTGGAACGGATGTATGATTCTGATAAATCGCTACGATTTGTTACATACACACGTGTAAATAAGCAGTCGCGAGATCAGTGGCATCCTCGATCTGCCAATTTGTTCGGTTGTATGTATAAATAAATTATTTTGACTTTACTTGCTCAATATGTCGCGTAGACACATATATATATATACTTCTGAACATTAATGTATATATATATATATATATATATATATATATATATATACATGTTAATGTTCAGAAGAATAAAAGAACAGTGGAATTAATTAATAATTTTAATTAATTCCATTTTTTTAATTTTTAACACTTTAATTTACTTTCCCGTTTGATTCAGACTTCATATTCGCATTTTATCAACACTAAAGTTAAACTAGAAAAAAAAGTAAGTATTTTTCTAAGTCGCACAAGAGAGTTTCCAGAATTTAAACCGATCACAAACATTGTTATCCTCTATATTATTTTTTGTTTACATAATTCACAGTTTATTAAACCTCACACATATTTTTCTCGAGGAAATGGAAAGAAAAAAACCAATTAGAAACCTACCATCGAAATCTACTGTACCGGATCCGTCGGAGTCGATTTCTTCGATCATCATGTCCAGTTCCTCGGTCGTCAGCTGATCGTCCAGCTCTCTCAGAATTTCACGCAAACATGTTGTTGGGATGTAGCCGTTACCTGATACAAAACAAAGATATAATGCAAGAAACATTGTGTAAGTAATATTTGCATATTACCGTCAAGTAATTGCGCGCAATAATTTCTAATAACATAAGTTATTGCGATGTGGATGTCTCTCTCACCTTTCGTTTTACGCGCTTGCGCTCACAAAAGTTACAATTCGAAATATCGTTAACATTGTTAGTTCGCGCTCTTTCGTTGGTAATTACAAAGTTGCACATCTCCAAAATATATTTCGACATGTCGTCATCTTCCTGACACAAACGTTAATTGCAAAATTTATGCGCTCCGGGTGGCGCAGCGAATATTTATCTTCTCGATGCCAGCAAGTGTTAAACCGCATATATGCCACACTTTCAGCATAATCGTAATTCGCGAAAGGTGCGGTTACGTTATTCTTGGCTTTCGTTCGCGTACACGTGAGATTCCTCCGGTGTGGGAGGAAATCACACCGTCCTCGCGCACAGTCCTCGCGCGTTGAATTATTTTTACATTCAAACTACAACAACGAGCTTAATGCAAAATTAATGCGCCTGTTGATGGGAAACGTATTTCGTGATTCTCTTGTCACGCGCGCGTGTCAGACACTTGTCACGCGTGTGTCTCTTCTCCGGTTGTGAAATTTCTCCGGTTTTCGGTTCATTTCTTTTGTGAAGTCAATCATTCGCACCGCTTTGGACGCGTCGCGTTGCTTTTCAACAATGCGTAATAATGTTCTAAATTAAACTGTTTTACAACCAGTTTTTACCTTCCTTGTCGTAGAGCCTGAATGCCTCGCGAAGTTCCTTTTCCAACGCCTCCGCGTCTTCCTCAACGATAAACTTCGCCGCCAACGTGACGAACTCCTCAAACTCGAGCCGTCCGGATTCTGCGTGAAACGGCGAAATAAACACATAAGAAAACCGTGTTTCCGTGAATTCTATAAATATAAGATTTCCGAGGAAAGGGATGCGGTCGCGATGAATTAAATCGTTTGACATTCGACAACAACTCGCACAGGGGCCAATTGCGCGCGTACAACGTTATCCGACGATCAACATTGAAAATAGGAAGAGTAAACAAGCTCTTATTGTTACACAGTGCCTCGTTAATAATCCTTATAAATAAATTTCATGTTGTGCTTAATGCGACCAGACTCGGGTCGATTGCGTTTTCGAAAAGGGAAGATTGCCATTGACTTGTTTTCGTTGGCGTATTTGTCATTGCGATATTTACTATCAGCGTCGACTTCGTCGATGAGCTCGTCCAAGATCTTCTTGTTGAACGGCTGACCCATTAACCGAAGAATGTCGGCTACCATGTCGGTGGGAATGCTGCCGCTTTTGTCCCGGTCGAAGCTGTCGAAAGCCTTGCGCAAGACTGGAAAAGAAATTTATAATCAATCATTATCTTCTCCGCGACATGTGCAGCAAAATCGGAGTCCGATGATCTCGAACAACAAAGAGAGACGATGTAGAATAGTACTACTTTCGAAATCGGTGTGTTTTTCGCTATACAAATCATAAATCTCCTGGTTGAAAACTTTCGCCGAGAGGCGATTCGAATTTAGACCGAATGTTAACGCCCTTCTGTCAGTAAAAGAGCAGCTGGCGCTGAGCTTATTTGGCTCGATGCGTCTTCGTTCCGCGCGCGCGGTCCGCGCACTGGACTCGCACACAGGAGATTTATTTACTTATTTATCAATCCCGTGTAAGAATCAAAAACCTCGTGATTCCTCACACCTTGCGATCGCTTTTCGTGTCGCGCGAAATATATTTTATGACACATCCAACAAATTAAATTACGCCTGACTCGTCCCCCGCGAGAGATTTAACGAGATTTTATTTAAACTCCAAAATCCTTTTCGACGGCGTTTTACACGGTATCGTATTACCTTACTCTAAATCTTCCTATAGCAATTCTCTTATGGATCGTCCGCGCTTTATTTTTAATCCAAAATAAAATTGTCGGCCATAAGCCAACTTCTGCGTGGCGGAATTGTTTGCAAAATATTAATATGTATATATATATGTTTTTTTTTTTTGTATATTATATACATACGATATAAATACATCTGTATACGAATCTAACGTTTATACGCGCGACAAGTGTTGCGGATCGATGTGCGATATCGAGACATCGCGCTCTTTTTCCCGAGAAGAAACTTCAAATCGTCGATCGCAGATTCTTTGTATTGTCGATCAGGAACGCGAAGGAAAAACAAATTGCGTCTCGATATATTTTACACGCTTTTAAAGAATCTCGCACACGGTTCGGAGCTATATTCGTAACGCTCTTCGGAGCTCCGCGTTTATTGCGCCGCTCGAGCAAGGCTCAAAGTTCCATGAGACATTTCGTTTTGAAGTTTTTTTGCTACATTCATCACGCGATATCTACGTAAGACGCGCGATCGCAAACAGCTGGAAAAATGATGCAAATCTAAACGCGATCGTTAATTTTTTTCCGAGCTGGAGAAACTCTCTCGTTTATTTCTTGTTCTTTTTCTATTTATATCATTTCGATATATATCCGCGCGGAACTGATCGCGTTGTGTCGCGCAAGAAGGATACTCTTTTCTCTCGCGTCGAGAAGATCGCGTGTTCGTTCTCTCTCCGCAGAGAGCCCGGCTATACATAGACCGCACTCACCGCAGCTGCTCCCGATCGGATTAAAGCGTAAATAAACTCGAGTAAAGACGGGGAAAGCAATGAAAATTTATCCGAGCTCGATCGAACACACCATTCTCTCCGATCTAAAAGGCTTCTATCTTTAGTCTTAGGTGTGTGGAGACTTCGTGCTCGTGTGATGCTCCGTCGCGAATGTGTTGAACCACACACACGCACAAGAAATGCTTTCGTACTATAATAATCTTTTTTTTTTTATTCATTTTAGATATTGATTTGAAAATTTGTACAATTGTTATCGCAATTTTAAACTGGTATTTAATAGATTGTTAACAAGATGATTAAAAAATACGTACCAGCAATTTGTTCCGCCGGCAGCTCATCAGCCTGTAAACATCGTAAAAAACGCGATAAAGTAAAATTCATAAATATATTGCAATATCTGCAAGTTTATAAATTTGTAAAATTTTTTAATATTGCAGTATTTGCAATTTTGTAAATTTTTAAATTTATACATTTGCAAATATTATATCACCGAGATATTATCGGTAAAATTTTTATTTAATGAAGGTACGTGTATCTTTTCGCGATGTATTTCTATATGCGGTTAAAAAAGATAATTTTTATCATTCTTATTACTTTTAAAAATGCACAAATTGTTAAACATTAAATTTTTGACACGGTTTAGTTGATAGTTATTTTTTGAAAAAAAAAAAAAAAACATTACCCATTGTTCGTGCGTTGTTAAAATTCATTCAACAGGTTTAAATTTCAACTAGTCAAGTTTACAGTGTTATTTTTTGAAATCACAATTGATTTTACCGTTGCAATAATTTGTAAATCGACTAGTAAAACTACTTTTTCGAACCGCCTCTTTAAACGATTTGTCACAACTAAAGTGTATATAGTAGCGGAAAGAGAGAGCACTCGGTCGATTTTATTTTACTTGATATCATTATCACAATAGTTCCAAGTGACAAATTCTATCTTTGTTTTTTATTTTCACAAAAAACACACTTTTAAAGAGGCGGTCGACTTGACTCGCCGTCTAAGAAACAACCACGTTTTTCTATAGAATCTCATTCATCCTCGTTCCGAAATAATCTCTCTCAATCGAAAGCGATCGGAGATGATCACTTTTACACGGGAGCGTTAACAGAGAGTAAAAAACTACAAGTGTTAATCGCTTAATCACGATGCATATAAAAAATAAAACATAATAGATACACAAGAGATTTTTAGAGAAAAGATTAGAGAAAAAAATTACGACCTAAAGTTAAATGCCAGACGTGCAGAGATTATACAAAAAAAAAATTAAATATATATATATATACGATTTTTGTGACAACAGAGTCAACAGGTTTTTGAAAATGTCAGAGAAGATAAGAGAGAGAGAGAGATAGAGAGAAAAAGAGAGAAAAAGAAAGAGCACCGAGCACAGACAGTTAAAAAATACAACAAATATGAGAGTAGACTACAGTCTATGACAGTAGGAAAACGTGTATGTTTACCAGGGCGACGACTTACAATATCATCGATAGAACATACCATGATGACGGCGCGGTCTGAGTTTTTGACTTTTTTTTTTTTACTTTAAATTACACCAAGATAATACTGTACGATCGATCCCGATTTCTCGCAGGAACGAGTCTTCCGTCCGAGAGAGAGAGAGTGTGAAAGCAAGATTTGAAGAATTGAGAGGAAAGCAATGAGATAACTCCCGGTACAGTCTTTCGCTCGCCGATTAAACGCACTGCCGCGAGGGGATGCTGCGCCGCGATAATATTCGAATGGGACAATATAGCGGTTGCGTGCCCGCGATTGTGAACCGCACCCCGCAAAGCTCCAGCCAATCGTCGGCTCTAGAGCTTTCAGGAAGACGTTTGCGCTATTTCTGGGATCCCCCGATGATGGTAGCAAGTCGGACTCGCGAATGCAGAGAGAGAGAGGCGGGCTCCTCCTCGTCTCTCTCTCGCGTTCGCCCGCGGGATCCGGTAACGCCATCCGGTGAAAAGACGTGACCGGTACTTTGTGTCCATTATTGGAATCAAATTATTTTTAAATTATTTTGAAGATTACGATATATCTACAAAGCAATAAAAAAAGTATAAGAGAAAGAAAACAATTTAATTAAAATTTAATTTATTTCTCACCGTGAAAACAAACGGCGATTTATCGAGACAGAGAAAATAGCTTAAAAAGTTTTGAGTTCAAGATGGCAATAATCTGAAAATTAGATGTAATAAAAAATCGTATTTTTTTCATAATTTTAATTCTCTCTCTCTCTCTCTTAACAGAAGATAAACAGGCTAGTGAGAATATATACGTACAACGGTGTAATTTAATATGCGACAGAATAAATCTAATTAAATCTCTGTTCTCATTTGTAACACGTTTCACATTCGATGCCAGGAAACATTAATCGCTACTTTCAATTTTTTTTATACAAGTTTTTATTGGAAATCTCTGTATTGTACGATCACACACACACACACAACTGTTTTTGTGCGAACATAACTGTATATTGTAGCGTGTACGAAAATAGAGAATGAAAATCCCGTGGTTAGCGTAAGCGACAGTAAAACGTCGGGACGTATGGTGCACCGAACACACAAATCGATGTCAGACTTGCTACTTGGAATCAAGACAAAAATCTTCGCAAACAATAGAAGCGATTCGAATCCATTGCAAAACAAATATTGTATCTTTCGGATCGTGTTGTAACACTTTGTTACAACAACAACAAAAACTTATTTGACAAGTTTGTAATTGCGAAGAAGTAAAGAGAAAAAACTTGGTGCATTTTTTTATTTCGACAAAAGTGAATTTTTATCTTACAATCAGAAATATACGTGTTCTTGTAATTTTACATATATATATATATATCTTTGCGCACGAGATATAATTCGCAAATATAATATGAAGGATTTTCGCGCGCACTAACCAGTTCGCAATAAATTTGTCAAAAGTCGTGTCACACAAGTGTCACGTTACAACGCATAATTTAGAATCTAATTTGTTTAATGAATTTCCACTTGAACGTTCTGTTGAATATATCTGACGACTTAACGTAAAGCGAAACACGCGTAAAACGATTTGTTTCTCGAGCGTGTTACACACACGTTTCATAAAGCGATAACATATTTTATTTCGCTCGTCAATTAATTACATTCGCAAGTAAGAAACAAAATTCGTCGTTTTTGCATTAAGCGCGCTTAACAACATAATTAATAATCCGCGGTTACAAACAAAAAAAGCACAGCGGGAGGATGTGACATTTATCATGTTTTACAGCTCATGTATTTTCGCGAACGTGCGCCAGGTAGAATTTCCGGACATTTTGACATGTTGAAAATGAACGATGGGACACACACACACACACACGCGCAGAAACGCTCATCGTGGGACACTCGCCAGCAGAAAACCTCTTCGCGGACAGTGCTCTGTGCGAGAAAACAATAAACAACCGCATCTTATACGTCGATTTTGAATTTCTTCTAGCTTGGTTGTGTTTATTGTTTAACGACTCGATCGCTGGCAACGACGTATGACTAATTTTGCGACGAGGCGTTGTCAGTTAATGTTACACCCTGGTCAGTTTTATAACTAAAATATCTCATTTCGCGCCACAATGCAATTGTTTTGTTCATTTGCTACGAAAACAATTTAATTTGGTACATTTTGTCGTATTTATAGTCATCGTCAGACGCAGGGTTTTATTCGCAAATGTAAACACATCGCACGCGCGACAAGATATTGGCAGACTAGAATCGCTTTTGCGCGTATAAATTACTAAATACAACATTTATGTAAAGTAAACAAAAATTGTGCGTTGTTATATTAAGAGTGATATCAGTCGTCGAGTTTCACCCGGTACTTTTGTCTATCAGAAAATTACATACACGGCAAATATTTGTATTGGCTGTGGACCAAGTGATTATGTCCAAAAACACACGTTATTTACAATGTTATTATTCGACAAAACTATTGAAAACCGGGAATGTACTGTATAAAACGACGACGATGTGAATCGACGACTTGGAATCATTACAACGAACGCGCATTTCCAATTTGTTTATTGCGATCAAACGAGTATTGGTTTGGTTTTCCGGACACGCTCGTGTGGTTTAAGATATACCGCGCTCTCAACAAGTGCGATCATTTCTGCTTCTTCACAGATCCGCACACAGCTTTATTAGTTTTTAGAAAATTTGGCATCGATAAATCAGCCTCTTGGCATAACACGACGTCGCGCATCGCTGGTTTTTCTCTTCAATCACGAAAATTCTAATCCGATTGATATATTCTCGGTCACGTGCTGGACTTTATTTGTGCAAAGTAACAAATTCCCACACCTTAAGTATGTTAGTCAAGGCTATCACATTTTGCGAGCTAACAAATCTATTATATGTGTGAATTAATTTAAATCGTCAATCGGATATTTGAATATCGAATGTTAAGTGATGACAATTGTTTTTCTGAGGCTGTCGCATTTTGCGAACTTACAAATCTATTACGAGTCAAATATCTTGAACACATCGAATATCAATTAACAATTGTTTTTTTATTTTTGGAACGGACTAAATTTTATCAGTCAAAAAATATTTAACTTCACTCTGATGACTCAAATTTGTTTTCGTTGTTTTCACGTGGTAAAGAAAATGCATTCAAACACAAATCGATCGATAATGGTGCTCGAATATCGCAACTCTCGATTCTGCGATCAATCGAATACCGATTAATCGACTCGTTATATTCTATCGCTAAAGCCCCTTGCACAATGGACGGAATAGCGATAGCGAAAAGAAATAACACCAGTTTTAAAGAGTTTATATTCATAAATAACGATAGGAACAGCGGAATCTAACATAAAAAAAATACACACGTATCAATGCAGATCAGAAAATCGGAATAAGCAATAAATTTTCCGACGAGTTGGAATTCTGTGCGTCTATTGCTTATCGCTATCGCTATTCCCTCGCATTGTGCAAGAGGCTTAATGCTACTTGTTATCGGTCCGGTGTATTTCAATATTATTTTATTTATTGCACGCGTTTGTGTAAAATAGAGTCCTGTGTTTTTTTTTTTTTTTTTAATTTAAAGCAAAACACGCGCATTGGTGTTCGCACATTGGTGAGAAAAAGAAACAAAAGAAAATAAAGTGCAGAGAGTACAAGTAAAACAGAGCGAACCTGTTGTTTTAACACGTTGAAACACGATTCCGGAGATTGTGTGATAATTTCACGTTCAACCACGCATATAAAGCGTGTATCTCTTTGAATATCTCCTTCAATTAACGCGTCAATTTTTCACGACGATGCCTGGAACTCCGATGGAGCGGGAAAATAACATGTTGGTAGGAAAATTGCAAACCGCCGAACGATCGCCGGAAGAACCGAAGCAAGAGACCGTTGTTAGAGAGATAACGCAAACCGATCGTTTGAACAAAAAACTGCTGGTGTCCGTTTTGGAACGGATGAAAAAATTGGACGGACAATTCGACAAGTTTATGGAAGACAGCAGAGAAAATAGCGCGGAATCGCAGGACGACAACGAGTTTTAAGACGACCGGCGTCTTCGAATTGCAAGTAAACCAGATTTGTGTTTTCAATGAACATTTTTTACAACGATATTGTGGAATATTTCAGAAAAAATCAATTTTTTTATATAGAAAATATTCAAAAGGAACTTACTTTAAGGTGTTTAAGTAAAAATCAGACTTCGTCGCTCTTGAAGCGCAACTTAGGTTAAGAGTTGAAAAGATTTATAGAGATGAGAAACTCTGTCATATATATAGATTTGGAATTCTTGTGTTACGTCATTGTTCTAATGAAATAAATTGTTTTCTTACAGAAGAATCCACATAAAAAAAAAAAGTGTGGTGCTGAAATTTAATCAAGCAAGCTATTTACTGGCAAAGAAGATTTATACACCATGACCGACATTTATGAAGATATAGAACAATATGAAAATCAAGAATCCAACATTTACGATGATATAGAAAATCAAGAATCTGACGGTAATCAAAGAGACGACGAAGAGGATGCGGCTTTTGCCAACGATCAGAAAGACGACGAAGGGACCGCGCGAAGAATCGATCCGAAAAAAACCAAAACGCACGTTAGAAATCCTTTACCAAAACTCGACACGGAAAAATTGAAAGGTTCCAATGGCGTTCAAGCTATTGAGAAGTACTTCGAAAATTTCAAGTTTCACGGCAAAGGACGTGAAAAAGCAGATCTCGATAGAATTATGAAAAGATTGGAATATTGGTCTTATCGGTTGTTTCCAAAATATCATTTCGATGATTTTCTCGCGAGAGTCGAGCAACTCGGATCCAAAAAGGACTTGCAGGTGTTTATCAAGAAATATCGACTCGATATGATTGCTCCGGATAATGATTTGATTATTGAAGACAACGTAGACAGCGAAGAAGAACAACAGGAAAACGCACCTCTCGACGACTTTGATTTATTGATAACGGAACAAATACAGAAGCAAAAGCAAGCTGAAACTCGAGCTTCGGCGTCTGCTGCGGGTCCAAACACCGCTGAAGATGCATTTGACGAACTTGTACGATCATCGAAAAACGACAATACACAGAGTTCGCAAGTAGAAGATACAAATACTGCCAGAAACCACGAATTGAGCGACGAGATTAAAGAACGAATTGAAAGAAACAGACAGTTGGCTATTCAAAGAAAACTTCAGAGATGGAGAGAACAGGAAGAAGCGAAGAAACTAAAATTAACAGAAAGCACAAATGACAAAACATTCAATGATAATCTTACAACCGAGGATAAGACAGATGCATCTCAAACGGATATCACATTGTCACAAAATAATGAAAACATATAAAAAAAAAAAAAATACACATTCTATTTGAATAAAAAAAAACTATAGTAGTAATAAAAATATATGTATAGTAGAGAGAGGCTTTTGTTGTTCATAAGATTAAAATATATACTAGTATTTGTAATACAACGTCATTCTTACTCAATATTACTGTAGAAGCAAAAAAAAAGGTACTTATTTGTAATATTAAGATAAATTTCGTATGCTTTTATTGAAAAAACATGTGACTATTTTTGAGCCCTTCTCGTGTGTTCTTGTATATTTTTATATTACAGTTTAATTTAATTAATTTCTACGTTTTTGCGTACTAATGTATAACACATTGTTTCCTCTTATAAAAGCATCTCCATATTTGTCCTTTAATTGGCCATTAACATATTCTTCTGTTTGTTCCAGTGCTATGTTCATATAGCCATCGATACAAGCCAACACACCTGTAAAGAATTAATTATAGTGATATATATAGAAAAATTGTCCAAAAGAGACAAGTATTTTTTGTCTCTAATATTACATACAAATGAGGAGTAGTAATTAATATTACTACACATTTACCTCTGTAATCAACACCGCTGTTCAATTTTACAACTACAGGTCGTCCGTGAATTTGTTGTATAAATTGAGACAACGCTTCTTTTCGACTCATCTGTCAACATTTAAAAAATCATTGTTTATTGTACATCGAATATGCGTGTATGAAACGAAGGAGCAACTACGTTTAGATGTTTGTTTACACGTTTGTTTGTAACGCGTTTATATCGATGTTGCGTTAAAAATAATTTTTTTCTTACCTTCAGTGATACAAAAGTTATCAAAAAGTCTCGTCGTATTTTCTAAACAATCTTAACTACTAAATCTACAAGATTTTTCGTCAAAGTGGAAGCAGATGATATCCACACCGAGAGCTACTCCACAGTCATCGTCACTAGTGACCTGTGTGTGCGTGGTGCCAGAAGATGGCCAGCGCTCGGTTTACGTAGATTTTAGAATTTTGACAGTGAAAACATTGCGAACCGCGCGTAGATTTTTAATTTTGCTAATTGCAATATCGCGCACATAATTTTATACTATGATTCTCACAGTTTAGATTTAAAATTGTAGAAAAAGTGTTAAAAAACCGCGGTTGTAATCGTGATAAGCAGTATTCGTATACCGACTCGAGACTATATTTATCGACAATAAAGTAAATGTCGCTTTGTAGTTCTTACATCCATTTTGTGGATATACGGCGCTAAAATCAGCAGTCGGGAGCGTTGCAAGTCGTAGAAAATATATTTTCAAACGGAATGACTGCTCTCTCAGGCTTCTCCGTGGCTGGAACATGCCGCTGTCAGTGTCAAGGGTGTCCATGTGTCAAAAGAGCAGTTTATCGTAGTTCGAATGTCGAGTAAAAAATTGTATATTCGCATTTGATTCTTGCGCTAAAAATCGAAAAGGAAAAAGAACGAGTTTTTTTAATTATTCACTAACTGATAAGACGATGGGTATGTGGTTTTTACATATATTAAGATTTATCAAAACACACACAATTAAAACAAACAACACTTGTTTTTACCTGCAAAGACAGGAAATGTTAAATAATATTCTATTTTTTTGGGTTTTATTATAGTTTACTAAGTTTTCGTAGGTAGGTTTTTTTTTGCATATTATTGTTAACAATATCGTGACATTTTACAGCTGTTAGCAGTGGAGTATCTTTTGTATTATCGTCCATAATGACGGTACTGCTGTTTTCCGGAATGCAAATGTACAAAGGTTGGCTGGGTTCGTCACAATTTGGAACTGTATTGGGTGGATGGGTGGGATCTTTGTTGTTTATGTGCACATTGACCGCTGTGGGAAATCTCGAGAGGTCTTTATTCGGAAAGTCATTCCAACAGAAATTGCTTCCAGAAGGTAATGCATTTTCGAGCTTGTTATATTAGAGCATATTTACACAGTATATTAGAAAGATCATTTTTTCATGAAAAAACTTTACATAAAAAGAACTAATCTGTCTTTTTTTTTCTACTTTGTTACAGTGGTTTTTTCACTGACTTTGAGTCTAATTGCTTCTGCTCTGATACATCGAGTATCTACCACAACATGTTTAATATTCTCTCTCCTTGCACTTTATTACATGAATCGAATTTCTCAAGAAACATATGGTGTTTCTGTACAGAATTCAATCCAAGTGCAATCTAAGAGACGCAAATGAATATGTACAAGGATGTTTATATTTTTCTATTATTATACATCATGAAAAGTGTTGATACATCTTTTTCTTGGTTTTCTTTTTTCAATCCAAAAGTCTTATGTAAAACTTTCAATTTATAACATAAACAATTTTCAACTGTAAAACGGTTTATCATATGTGGATCTTTTCTCTAGGATACAAACTAGATAAAAGCTTGAAAGATCGTTACTGAATATAAATTGTAAGTTTTTCATATCAATTTACTTAATTAGATTTAAGAGAGCAATTCATACTGTAATAAAAAGGTCAATGAAACAAAATTAATTTATTTTAAATGATTTATGATCATATGAAACTTAATTATATGAAAATATATTTACAATATAGATATAAATATTTTATATTCTAGGATTTTTGTTTCTCTTTCTTGTGCTTTTCAGCTTCTTCTTTATCACTAAAATATTCGAATATTTCATCCGAATCTTCACCAACTGATGTGTTTCTTTGATCTACTTGCTTTACTTGGTGATTGTTAGCATGTCCCGGCATTACTTGCTTATAAATTGTCATCGCCTAAGAAAGAATAAGATGTTCTTTAATATGACGTCGTTAAAAACAACAATGTAGCGAAACAATGAGCAATTCAGTAAGTAACAAACCTGAGCTACAAATGTCGAAATGTCTCCCACATTGCTCGGTAATATTAACGTGTTGTTAACTTTTGCTAACTTATTAAATGCTTTGATATATTGTTCCGCTACGCTAAGCGCTGCGGCATTTTTTGCGTCCACAGTACGAAGAGCGCTCGCAACTACTTGCAACCCTTTCGCCCGTGCCTCTGCTATCGCCACCACAGCAGCAGCTTCTCCGCTGGCTTTATTTATTTGTTCCTGCTGTGCCGCTTCTGTAACAGTCAAAGGTACTGGCTTGAAAAGGGCCTGAATGCTTTTCAATCGTCAATCTTTAATTAAATCATAAACGACACAACACCTGAAGCTAAAATTTGCGCAAGTCTTTTGCCTTCTGCCACATTTATTTCAGCTTCTCTGATACCTTCAGATTCTAATATAGCAGCACGTTTTTTACGTTCAGCTTCTACCTGCATCTGCATTGCTTCCTGTACTCGTTGCGGTAATTTTATATCACCTGACATGTAGATGCAAAGTGTTTTTGTTAGTTACCATACAAATAATAGTGTGTAAACAAACGTATTTTTACCGTTACTCAGATAAGACAAATTGTTACGCAAATAACGGTAATTAAATATCTTTGCAACTCACGTATTTCGTATCGCAAACACTTTATTCCCCATGCACTACTGGCTTTGTTGATACTTTCTACAATAGCAACATTTAGTTCCTCTCTTTCTCTAAATACTTTATCTAAGGATATCTTTCCTAGCTCAGATCTCATAGTGGTTTGGGCTACTTGAATTACAGCAAACTCGGCGTCCTCAACACCATAAGATGCCAGGTAAGGATCAGTTACTCTTAAGTACAATACCGCGTCGATGTTTAGGGTCACATTATCTAATAAAGAAAAAAAAACAACATATGATTCTGAAGACCACAAAATTTAAAATTATATACGTGTCTTGTATAAATTTATTTACCCGATGTAACCGCACTCTGTTGTGGCACATCTATTGCTAGTTCCTTCAAAATTTGTACATACTTAACTTTATCAATAACAGGAAGCAGAATGTTTAAACCTGGTTCTAAGATTTTGTGAAACTTGCCCATCCTCTCCACAATCCACGCCTAAAATATAAAAATATTTTACAAACTGTTTATACATTACATATGGTTTTTTTTTTTTATTATGAATATATATATATAATACAAACCTGTTGTTGAGGAACAAACATAATAATGGTATTTATTGGAGTTAACGGCTTGTATCGAGAGGTGTTCGAGCCGAACATTTTATTTCTTATATTTGCACATGTGTGATCCTGTAAAAAACACAAAAAATGTACCGTGTGTGTACATATATTTTTCAGACATTTAAAGGTAATTATTTGTGAGACACTTTACCTTAAGAACTCCTAAATTTCTCGTCAGTATCATGGCACCTCCGGTCGCCGCGCGTTTATACATGTTTAATTATATTAATTTCACAGAACGTTTTGTTGAAAAACACATATATATTCGTATTTATATTAGCGTGACACTCTTAATTTTTGTAGGTTATGAGAAAGAAGATCACGCAGCGCGGTATCAAGTGTTGTCGCATCATTAGACGTACGAATATACACTGACGGAGCTTCTGATAGGTCGAATTTTTATCAAGTCCGATTTTTAAGCGAAGACGAATGACAAATGAACATCGCGCCCTTAGGTACAGAACCTCAGGTCTCGTGTTCACGAGAGGTCTCAATCCGCGATCTACGAACGCACCTTACAGTGGGTGCGTTCAGACAACTCAACGGTTGAGAGATCGTCACTTATGATAGGACTATTCTTCAAAATCTGCAGCGGTTCCAAAAGTGTGATCCAATCAGAAGTGATTATCTCTCAACCGTTGTGCAACCGTTGAATTGTCTGAACGCACCCAGTTTTTCGTGGAATCGACCAATGACGTGAAAGTCGACTCGAACGACAAGCGACGGCGATTGGTCCGCCGAGTTCTCCGGTGAGGATTTTTGGGGCGCGCGAGCGACCCCTTCCGAGCGACGCGCGCACCCATAGAATACAACAAGTGTCATGAGAGGAACGCAGTTCGTTTTTCTCTCGATATCAGGCGCGCCGAGAGGCGCGATCGACGGACTCGAGGGTTCCCATCTTGAGTCGTGTTTCGCCCCGAGCGATGCCAAATGTCCTATTTTATCCGCTTCTCATTCTCTCTAAGAACATTCTCTCAACAGGAACTGTGATCGTACGCGATGTGTTTTTGAGTGTGTGAAGAGTGTGATTTTTTTGTGTGACAGAGTGTGAGAGAGAGAGAGAGAGAGAGAGAGATAAAGAGGAGCCCTCGATCACACCCGTACGCCGACGCCGGACCCGTGCCGCGTGACTACTTCACGCAGGTAAGTGCAAAAAAAAAAAAAAGTGACGAAACTTAAATAAGCGCGTTGTTAGCCACTCGCTTGCGGAATTACATAGCTCGATGCTTTTTCGTCGGATGCAATCGATATGCGGATATATTGTTGTGTGTATAAGTATATAAGTATCGATCGAAGTCGGTCGTGTTGCTGCTCTCCGACGAGTATACGGTAAAATGTGTATGCATTTTTCGAACGCGACCTTAGAGGAAATCGGGCTCTTATGTAAGATAACTACTTCCTGTCGTGCATCTATTTAGCTACCATATTGTGTATAACGCAACTTTTATACACACATTCACAAAGTGGAATTATCAACTTTCTAACGGTGTTTCTAACGCTACGTCGAATTAGAACCGCGAACTCGATGCTTTTGACAGATTCTTTTGTTCTTTTTTTTTGCGCCAAATAAACGCTAATAAAGCAATTATCGTCGAATGAAATCGCGCGCGGTGAAACAGAAATTTTAAAAAATATGCGCTTTGTAAAAAAAAAGAAAAAAAATATTCGCAAAGTATTCGCCCGCTACGTCGTCTCGATGACGCGATGCGATCCGTTAGGAGAGAAAGTCCGACGCGCAAATTTTCTCGATGCACTTCACGCTGTTAGTAAGATGGGATTTGCTATTTTTGCTTTAAAAGATTTCATGCACGGAGTCGAAACTGCTGCTCGTGCAACGAGGGCTAGAAGACGCGTAATTCGAAAAAAAAAACAAGAAAATCTCTCTCTTTTTGTTTGTTAATCCATAATGTTAAATAAATAATTATTTAAATCAATATTATGTGATAATACTAAAAATACCAGAGTAAAAGAGATATGTGTTCGAGCGTAGAAATGGCGTGCCCATGTGTGTTTACATAAATAATTTCTATACTACTTAAAAACGTGCATATACTTTTTATTTACAACAAAATTTTATGGTTTACAATTATTTTACTCGCAACTAAACATAAACTTATTGTATTGAAACATAATTGTAAATTAGTTATGCCATATTTTTTTACAATGGCGCGAATGGAGGGAAAGACGCCGAAATGCATGTAATATCGTTGTTTTGGTACGCGAGAGATGGATCATAACCGGAAAAAAAGCAAGAAAAACATATATTGAGATTTTCTTGTTCTTTATAGAAAATAAATAAATAAATATACTATAAATATGATGTTGAATTTTTATCTGTATATTTTATTCAGAAGAATAAATATAAATTTTCTGTATTTCATACATATGTCAAGGAAATATACATGCAACATTTATAATTTCTTAAAAATTTTCAAGGCTTTGTTACATATTGCAACGATTAATAATGTGGTAAAAATACATATATATAAAATGTAAATTTTTTATATTACAAATTAAAATATATTTTAATATTCTTAACGTTTTTCATTACTATTCTACGGAAATATATTTATTACTCTGTGTTAAATGTAAAATGTACTCTAAAACTTGCAATAAAAATATAATATCAGGGGGGGGATTAACTTCCGATTAGACGAGGCGCGGTCATTACATTGGACTGCACTTCCCTACGGGAATAGTACACCTTGTATATTTCCACTATGATCCGGTCTCTCGATTACGAGTACCAGTAAAAATAATCTACATTGCGCGGTCGTGCGCATGCGCGTACAAGAGAGACAAAGTAGCGCGAAGAATATAAGAAAAAAAAAAAAACATCGTTCAATAAAATTAATTTTTAATTAATTTGATTATTACTTTCGAATTGACCAATCGCATTATTAGGCGTAGTAATCAATTACGACCAATTAACTTCGTTAAACTTGATTAAAAAATACTTTGCTTTTAGAAAAATTGTAGTTTATATCTTATCTCTGACATTTTTACGAAAACATTTTTATGCACACATATAGATACACATAATCACAGTTGCACGCATCATTTTACGATAATCGGATGATTGGATGATTAGTATGGAAAAAATGTTCCATTTATTTTCTTCTCTCTCTCTCTCCCCCCCCTCTCTCTCTCTCTCAGTTATCTTCTACAAAGTGTTTGCTGATTAATGCTATTATTTTAATCTTGACGGGATTTGAATTATATATGCAATTTTTAATCAAAAATGGAAAAACAGCTTATCTTGATATTGAACATAATTTTTATGTCAGATACACTTATACAGTTGTAGGGAATTACAGAGCGACACTACATTACATAAATGCACTTTAATCACATAATGGATCGATGTACTTTTTTAAAAATATTTTTTGTAACATATATTTTAGTTTTAAACACATATATACACCTACATCTATAAATATATACTTATAAACAAAGTTTTTTTTGACGACATGTACGCATCTTCAACAATTTTTAATTCATCTCGACGATATTAATACTTACAAACTAGTTATTTTTGTACGACGATACACCATCTGATGCGCTAGACTGACACTTTTTTCGTTCTTTTGCGCAACAAGTTGATATTTGTTTTTGTTGCAATATGCTATATTTGTTTTTAACAGAAGCCAGACGATATTATCGACACCTACAAGCGAGACGTAATTAATTAACTAGTGTAGCGTGTCCGCAATAAATAGATGTTTGTTATTAATAATTAAAAACAAATAAAAAATGGCAACAGTAGAATTATATATGTACATATGTATTATACAAAAAATAAGATACACACACGGTTTTTTTCGCGTTACAATATCATGTGCAACTTGCTTAACTTCCTGTTGTCTATATTTATTTTGTTTATTTACTTTATCTTGGCGCTCTGTCAAATGTTAGGCTAGTTACATTGGCAATGTTTCTCTTCAATGATAATAGCGCGGTCACATGTTTCGAGATTCTCTAAACACGCAGCTGTTAAACATTAAACGAGAAATTAAAAAGCTTTTTTTCTTTAGAAATTTTTGAAACATCTTTATCTGATACAACAATTTTTAATTTGCGCAAATGTACGAAAAAATTCAATTTACAAATAATTTTTCTCTGCGAGAACGCCGAGAGATTGAAGATTATTTTATCGCAGAATTTTATATTATTATTATTATTATTTTTTATAATTATTGGAAAATTTGTCCGGTATCCTATCAACGCGCGTGTTGAGGGAGCCGCGGGTCACATTTCGCTTCGGACACGATCACGAATAAACTTGCGCTATGTGCATTTCTTTTTTTTTTTCTTCTTTTTTTTTTGTTGGAATATTAAATACGCCGACAATCGAGGCGTACGGACGAGTGTGAGTTTTCGAAATTGTACTTTTCTTTGGGCGAATTGAGCACGCGCATTCGCGCGCACACTCACGCACGCTTACTTGTATAACGCTATATAGATATATACGGGGAGTTTCGTAATAAATATAATGCCCGGGATAAAATGGCGGAGAGGGCCGACCTTGCCCCGTAACCGACCGGCTGCTTGTTGCCAAGCTAACATACACCGTGTATATAGCGCGATACATAGCCGCTTATATATGGCGGACGCAATCGGTGCGGTCGCGTCGCGTATATATATGTACGTGATGCGCACGTGTGTGTGTCGTGTGCGTCCGCGTGGATGTATGTGTGTGTGTGTGTGCGCGCGGATATCTAGGGATGCTGACGTTACGTCGTGCGTGTCGCGCGCATTCAGAGAGAGATGCCCTCCTCGGTAAGTTCCCGGTATGGCCAACATTGTTCGTGTGTTTTTGGCGCCAATATCTTGATACTGATAGGCGTGTATGGATAAGACATCGTAACGCATTGTATATTTAATTAATGGCGTATGGGCGGACTTTTAGGAGTCCTCGAGCCTGATTAAAAAATCACGTCAAGTTTATGTATTTAATTAGCGTAAAACTAAAAAAATATCTGCACCGTACGCGTGAGAGATCGCGGTACGAAACAAAGAATATGTAAAGGGGCAACACGCGAAATAAAATATTTGTTTTTAACTTTGTTTTATTTTAAAATAATTGTTTTTGCGTTACAACAAATGTACACTTTGTATTAATGATGATACGAACAAAAAAAAAGTGATAAATTTTATATCATCAATGACACACGGTGCTGATATATCTTGTTCAAAAAGATACTCAAAAGATAGTAGTCCGTCTCTACTTTGCAACGCGTACAAATCGATACAGTATTTGTTGTATCACGTTACAAACATATATATAGAGCGCATATGTATAAGTTACAAACATATATAGAGTATATATGTATGTATTTTATTTCGTGCTCTTGAA